CTTGTAGTTAGATGCAAGTTGAAGTTGAAACGCAAAACATCCGATGCTCCGTCTATCCTTTAATAGCCAAACAGGTATATCATTTACTAACGACTTCTGGTGGATTTTTTTATATGGGATTTGAGCGAAGGTCGGAAGCAAAGCGTAATTATGATATAGACATTGTTAAAAAATTCCACGCCACAAGATGTCTTTAACACTTGGGAAGTGTAGTTAAATAAAGTTAGTCAAGAGTACTGGGGTAATTTCTAATGATTTCGTTATAGACACTATGATATGCCGATTTATATTATAAATCCCGATATGTCTTATTTTTTTCGTAGAAATAGAAATAGTATTGGCACAAAAATATTTTTTTCTGCAGCCGTCCCGAAAATAGAACTTTCGGTATGATTTATTAAATCGAAAGTGAAACTTTACACAAATCGTACCGAAAGTAGCTATTTTCGGAATGATTTTTTTTACTTTCGGGTCGATTTTTTTACTTTCGGAATAATTTTCAATATCTATGTAGGCGGCCTTAGCAATGACATTTACGGAATTTTTATTATGACATCGCTTGTCAAAATAAATTTGTTGATAGTTCCACTGTATTTTCAATTTTCCGATCCAAAAATGGAAATCGACAACGAAAGTGACGAGGAAATGATTATTCCACATGAAATCAGTGAAGCTGCTAAAGTCGCTACTTATGAATTGTTGCCAGTAAAGTCAAGAGAGAGGTATGAAATGGTCTATAATTTATTCCAAAAATGGCAAGATGATAAAAATTAATATCTCGAAAGCTAGTACAAGTACTGCAACGTCTAATACTAATTTCAACACAGCCATTTCTGCTAATATTCCTAATACTATTAATATAAGTAATTGTTATAATTGTACATTTAATGTTCATAAGTAATATTTATAGTATCTATCCCTATTATTTTTTAATATTTTATCTAATAAACGGCTGCAGAAAAAATATTGTACGTAACGCTACCCAGAGTGATTTTACGGGACTCGCAGGCTTCCAGGACTCGCCTACGGCTCGCCCTGGAAACTGCCTACTCATCCCTTAAAATATCACTTTTGGGACTTGTTACGTAAATAACTATATTAAAATGCATCTTTGTTTTAAAAATACTATAATTATTTCGCGATCTGTGTAGGCTACTGTTAATTAGAACCCAACAGTGAATGGTTGAGTGGGGAATCCTACCAAGGCATCAGAATTAATTTTAAATAATTAATTAAAATAGCGAAATAAAAACTTCTTTGGAATGAAACCGTCCTTTTTAAAAATTATAAGTAATAAAATATGTTAATTTAACTTTAAAAAAACGTAAATTATTGTGATAACATCATTTTACAAATTGATGAGAACGAGAAGCGATCAATTTTTTTTTCCTTGAGATGTCTTGAACGTAGGACACTGACTATATTTGGTCGTCGGTTACTAATAATTTCTATGTAAAAATGGTATCTATATAGTCAGTTTTTTGAATTTTTTAAAAAATTTTAAATGATAATGTTATGTTCTCAAGTTCTTTAAGTAAAGCTACATAGAAATGAAACGAACTCAATAAATATAGAAAAATAAAACACATGCCACAAAAGTTATAAGTAAAGGTCACAAATGACATTAGGTTGGTAACAATATGGCGCAGATGATACCGCTTCAGTACACGAGTAGCGACTACACTCTCTACTACCTGCATGGTTCGCACCTTCGCATTACACTTTTACGTTATATGCCAAACTCGAGCTATTGGTACAGAAGAAAGAACAATACAGAAAAGAAAGTAATGGTCGGAACTTTGAAGTTCAAGGGATAGAAATATTTGACCTTCAGTTCCACCACAGAGATACTCTGAGAAAACGTAACTATTCACAGTACACGCGAACGTAGCTATTCACTGAACCTACACTGCGAAAACTACATTTCTCTTTTACAGAATTGTCATATTTTATGAAAATTTGCATGAATGAATTTTAAACTATTGTTGATATAAGTAAAATATTTTTCAATTTGTAGCACTTCCGACAGAGGTTTCAAAAATGAAAATTATAAAGTTTTAAACAATAGTTTATTTTACCCTGTCATAATGAACTATTAATATTGTGTCACAAATCTTACTAGTCATTTATGATCCATAAGTATAAATCAATTGGGATAATTGTTAAAAAATCATTAGCTAAAGCGTATTTTAGGGATTTTATAAATAAAAACAAAAGAAAAATAAAAAACGTATAATATGTAATTATTGATAAGTTTACAATCTATGCATGTATTTTATTAATATAGAATTTTTGAATGGAATTATTTTAAGATTATTTTTTATTGCATATGCAATAAGGATACTTATAATAATTTATAATACCAATAAAACTAAAAATGAAATTAAAAAACAATAGTGAAACAAATATATACCTGATAATAGTACATAAATATATTATAAAAAACGGTAAAAAAAAACAGTTGAGAAACTATGTACTCAAATTACGTACATGTTTAATAAGACTTATATTATCTAAAAAAAGAATCACACACCTATGACATATTTTGTTAAAGCTATTACATAGTATTCATAATCGTTTTAACTTTATGAAAATTAAAATAATTAAAATTGTTTACACACATTTATAGAGCAAGCCTAATTTATAATACATAGATGAGTAGCTTTATTAAAATAGCTACATCCTAATATACAACTATGTAATAAGCTCTGCGAAATTACAATATCTGCAAAGGATTTTTTTAAAAATTGCTTACACAAAGCATGAAAATCTTTCAATGTATATTCGGAGGATGGATTTTTCTTCTTTTTTGCAACAAACAAACGTTTCCTTAACGTGGCTATCTTCAGTCGCAGTCTCTGCTTACTTGGAGTGTTTGATGATAATACACTACTCGTTTGGATTTGCGCTGTTGCACAAGGTAGAGGAACAGATGGTTGACTATGAACTTGTTCAATAGATTTTACTTCTGCTGAAGTTGAGGGTAAGCACAAGTTGTCTATGCCTTTTTCGCCATGAATAACAAATTCCTCTAAAAAAAAAAAAGAAATAAATAACAAATTTTTATCAGATCAACTAGTTTTAAGAAGGTGCATCATTTGGCAGAATTAAATGTTTAAGTCACACTTTTTAGCCAGATGAAATTTAAAATAATTTCATAAAATGTGAATATATTTCTGTGCGTAGGAGATAAACTATGTCATTCTAGTCAACTGTTTAGTACAGCAGATTGAATGTTGTTAAATTATTAAATTTCAACTAGATATGCATTTAGACACCCCATCTACTTTCACAATATTTGTATTTTTTACTAACCTAACTGATAAAACTACTTTATTTTAATTTGCATAAGTTGTTGTATGTCGACATAGTACAGTTTACCTCCGATGCAGTTCTATAAAATGGATTGTATGGGTTGGGTTTATATTTATATTTTTTATATCTTGCATGTTTATAAAATAATAATGATATTCTAAGATTATTAGTACTTATCATTTTATTTTTTAAACTACTAAATTTAGTGTAAAAAAATAACAAGTGAAACAAGTAGCAAACTTTTTGTAACATTTAACTATAAATTTTATTTATTTACCTTGCAGAACTGTGACTCTTTTCATAGGTTCTAAGTGAGGAAATACTGATGGGAATGCATTTGCAACTAATCGTTTTCTTGCTCCTGACTGATAAAACGAATTTATCCTGGAAGTGCAGTTCACAAATTTTGTAATGTTTACTTAAGTATTCAACACTATTTCCCAATAAGTCCTTTCTATTTGCTGCCTGAAGCCAAAATTCAAGTCTGAAAAATATATACAATCATTGTACTACAATATTATGAAAAGGTCAATTCCTATTTCACACTCAATATTTCATACATACCTCACTGGATCTTTCACAAGAGTGAACAATCCTTCTTTGTCACCTGTTCATGAGGTACATCCACGATACATACAAGTATACCCTCCTCCTCTTTGACGCGGCATTGTTTATAAATCTAATCTTAATACGTACAATAAAGTCTTAAATGAACACTCCACAATTAAAAACAGCAACAAAAACTAAAGATAAACCACTAACAAAACGTAAAAGTTATTAGAATATTCGCTAAAACCAACCAAAAATCAAAAGACGACAGGCAAAAAAATATTGACAGCGACAGCAGTAACAGTTTAGTTCATCTGCTACAAAAATGTGCACTGTTCCACTTCGAACAAGTAACAAATTTACGATTCACTTTTGACAATGCTCTAGAAGGTGTGGCTTCGGTTGCTAGGTTCCTGTTTTAGCCCTATGTTTATTTTCTCTATCGTTCTTTATCCTGTGCTACTGGTGAGAAAAAATGCCATTTTTTTTAAAATAGCTTCATTTAAATGATATAGAAACATTGTCATTTCGTCAATCTTCAAAAATAAAATTATTTACTTTAAATAAATCAAAGTACTTTTACGCCCGTATGCACCGTACACGTTTAATCCAGATCAAGGGTTTAGTCGCGTTTAGTGCCATTTTTAGCTATGGTACTAAACGCGATTAAACCCTTGATCTGGATTAAACGTATACGGTGCATACGGGCATAAGTCACCATTTTGATTACACTTTTCCATCACTCAAAATGTCATATCGCACCATAGTGGTAAAGTCGTCTCTACTTCATTCTATCTCGATGAAACTAAGAAAACTAGAATCTCAGTAATTCTGTAGAAACTAAAGGATTATTTAACGGAACGGCACGATTGTCAAAATAAATTAATAACTTATTGTTAATTTTAATCAACAAATGAATATTATAAAAGAAATGGAAAACAAATTAAGAAACTAGTTTCCCAAGGCTAACTATCTATTATTACAAAAGTAGGAAATTCGCTCGTACTCAATGAGTATATGATCTGTATATCCGTTCTGAAGCTTGTGCAGAAAATAGATTATATAGCTGTGGCGTGGAAGAACAATATTTACTTATTTATTATTTATTCCTTAGATTTTATAATTTGAATTTTTAGGCCTATATGGGAGAAACCAATCTCAGTCGATCTGAAAAATAACCAAATCCTGTACACATCGCCCTTACCCGCCAGCGGCATTCTAATTGCCCTAATTCTAAATACGTTGAGAGATTTTGTTGATACATATAATGTTGACAGCGTCACGGCGTCTCAGAGAATTGTAGAAACTTTCAAGTACGCTTACGGAAGAAGAGGAGAAATGGGGGATCCGAATTTCGCGAACGTTACAGAGGTAAGACATGAATTAATTTAATAGAAGCATATACAATATTTGAACCCTTAAACTCTCGGAATTGAATGTTTCTGGAATGTTTGGAATACAGAAAGAAAATGTTTTCATCTGAAAACGTTGTATTAAACTTGGCGAAAAGAAGGATTTTCCATCAAATTTCAACCATTGAAATTTACCTACTATACCTTCTTTCCGAAATCTAAACTAATTAAAACTAAAAATCAGAGATTAACTATTAGGGCAGTTTTTAGGGTTCCGTAACCGACGGCTAACCAACGGGACCCTATTACTAAGCCTCCGCTGCACACACGGCAATTACCGGGAATTAGCACGCCAAAAATAGTTGTATTTTTCAAAGTAAATTTTTTGATTAGATTTAATTGAAAGAACAATGTAAGTTGTTGAATAGACTGCCAGGTTGTCACATTTCACATAAAAATGCATAAAAAGTGGTTTATAAATTAAATTTTATTTAGTTATCTAATTAAGGCGTCAAGTTTTAATCATTTATATAACACTACTAAAATATGTGAAAATAATGCACATACATTTTGTACACTTTGTACACCATCTAAACTATTACTTAAAAAAGTAACATACTCAGTGCAGCTTCTGAAAAAGGGTTTATTTAGATTTTTTTTTTGTATTTGTAATCAGGGGGTCTGATGACAGTAGCATTCTATTCATTATGTCTCTGTCCGGTTCTAATCTCGATGTCTTCCGTAGTTTAACAACCTTACAAGCTAATGCTTCTTCTGGAGTGTACATAGCCATGAATCAAAATATGACGAATTATGAATTTCTTTGGTTTTTTCTCTGTGCGCGGAGACAAGCTTATAGCTAATTTCACAACTTGCGCCGAAATTCTTTCTTCACTTTTGAACAGACTCATTTCTGCAGCTTTGCAAAGTGTTTCTTTGGACATGCTTGACACAAGAGGTCCTACTTTTCTTAACTTCGACCGTACAGAGCTCTCATCGAAAACATTTTTGGGTCTTCCACGTTTTTGATAATTTCTTACTTCTTCTGCCGTATCCATAAAGCATATTTTTTTGGTGAATCTTGCGGGTTGTATGTTTGCATATCTTCCACTTTTTTTTAAGTTTCGACACGAATATCTTTATAGTACATTTAAAACGTTTTTCCGAGAACGTGGAATTTGTGATGTATTAAATTTAATTAATATGTACTGTTCTACCTTTTCAATGCACTTAGCAGTCAACAGTTTAAAGAATTTATCGCTTTGTAAAACAGAAAAAATTTCATTTCTAGTGATTTTGGGGAGATGCGGATCAACGTTGTTGTGACTACCTCTAAAAAAAAAATCGTATTAGACAGAGGACATTTGGGGACGCAAATTTTTTTATGCTCTTAAAGATAAAGGTCTTATCTAACTATAACATAAAAAACGAGACTGGAACTTGGCGGAACTTTTTTTGTAGCCCTCGCAGAAATTAGTCGTATACAAAAAAGAATGAATAAAATTAAGTCCACCAAAAGCTGCCGTTATTATTAGGCAAGAAACAAATAAATACATTGTTAATACTTGAATAAGAAATACATATATGAAGCTTCACAGTCCATCTTGAAAAATTTCTTGGATTACAACAGATAAACAACAACACGTACTTTTCCAACAAGTGTTCGCATGCTGATGTATGCGTCAACCACACTTAAGACTGAAAGCGCTCACTTTCTACCCATATTACTCTTATTTATCTGCGGTTCTCGGTGGCGTAAAGCCAGATAAGAGCACGAATGTATACAGAAAAATAGTGTGTGGATGAAACATGTTTTTAAAATATCAATTTTTTTTTATTTTTGGCGCGCTAAATAGGGATAATTGCCGTATGTCTACCAGCAGGCTGTATCACATGATTCGTAATAGGTAGACAGAGAATGTGTATTTTTGATTCCGCTATAACAAAAAATAATAAAAATGAAAATAAATTAAAAATTAAAGGGACCTTCCCTACTAGAAACCTGTTTTTTTTTTTTTCGGAAACATAGTATTAAATCTTGTACAATGGTGCGGAACCCTTCATATGCGAGTCCGACTCGTACTTGACCGGTTTTTTTTTAAGAGCATTATTAGACAGTTTTATGTTCGACTGTTGACAAGTGAGGATGTATGTTTAACAACATAATTCCTTAACTATAGTCTGAATAAAAGAGGAGTGCAGTGAAAGTGGAGATATAACGTCACATTCCATAGAAGTACTTTGCAAAATAAGTTTCTATAATTATTGTATATACGCACTTTGTAGATTAAATTTTGAATGAAGAAAGTTGTATTATTTACAAAAAATAAAAATAAACCTTATGCTTGTGACAAAATACTTGTATTTTAATATTGAACGAATTAAATTTAACCAATAAATAACAAGGAGAATTATGTGTTGTTAATGAGATTAAACTTTTTTTAATCTATTGGCATTAAAAGTAACACTTCAGTACCTAAAATAAAAATAAAAAGTTCAAGAACTATCTATAAAACTCATTGTATTCACTATAAACTATAACTACTGGTATTAGGCTAGATGTCAAAATAAATAGACGTTGTACAATGTTAGGATACATGAAAAAGCTGAAAAACAGCAACTACAAAATGCATTGACAACAAATGCAAAACAACATGAAAAGTATGTAAAAACGAATTAATATCTTAAACAAAGAAAAATCTAAATCTCTAACAAATTATGAGACTGATGCAGAATAACTGACAAGAGCAATCGGCGATCAAATTAACAAAGAAGTTTAGCTACCATCAGAGCTAATAATAATATCTCAAAAGTACAAACACTAGCCTGTGTTTGCGTCACCGGTTCAATGAGAACCTGTCCTACGGCTGCAACGGAGGTGATTTTAAACTTCATTCCTCTACATTTAATGATATAGAACGTGGCAAAAAGGACACGATATAGAATGATCAGAAGCGGAGTAATCAGATGAAAGTCTATTAGTTTCAGAACCGAAGATACCTAATTGGGATATGTTCAAAGATGAAATGAGAATGCTCCAACATAAAATGAGAAAGTGATATTTTGTGAAAAACTTCAAAAACGCAGACATCAAGACATTAGCGACAGAAGGGGACACAATAGATCTTTTAGGTCGCACCCCATTCCCAACATTACACAACAAAGAAGTAGAATAAATAACAGCGAAAAGCAGAAATAATAGGAGAAAAAAACGAAAAGTCAACTCCCAACGACGAAAAACGTCTAGACTAATTTATTTTTTTTTTAAATAGAATTGCAAACATTTACAATGTTATCCAGCTAGTTGTCAAATTACTATGAGATATTGGGACAAGGCACATACTTTGATTTTCTTTTACTATACGGAGAATGGTCGCACTGCGCAGCTTTCTGAGTACCTTTTAAAAGGAGATAGAAAACTCCGCCATTTTGATCCCTTATTACGTGTTGCCTACATCTTGGCGCAATATTTTTAATAGGTGCGTTTTAATCATCCGCTTCTGCTTCGGAATTGTCGGTTTTCTTGTTTTAATCTGACAGGTTAAAACGACTAAACCGACAATTCCGGAAGCAGAAGCGGATGATTAAAACGCACCTGATATTTTGCTTGCTGCTGTCAGTGTCAGTGAATATTATTTTTGGAGTCACAGTTTATTGCTAAAGAATCAGTTAGCTCACTCGGACCAGTTGAAAGTTCCAAAATAACATCCACTCCAGAGATACAAATTCAGGATACGCAGAAGAGTGCTGTTTTATTATAGGCGGTTGTCATATATTGTATTATCCGAGTTGCGCAGTGTATAAACTGGAACATTGAGATCAAAAGTGCCGACGCAGAGTGAGCAATATGATTCTTTAGCTATAAACTGTGGCATAGGAATCAAAATGGCCGCGCCCAATGTTGGGCGTGTCGGACCTCTCTCTTGCACCATATAGTAATCAAAGTATGTGGGACAAGGATTGTTTATAGTTATAATTCGGTATTGCCTATAACGACCCTGCTAATCCTATCTTCTAAAGAATGTATAGGATTTGGAGTGGCTTTAAGTTAGGTCAATGGCTCTCTTCTATTTGATATGCTTCCAAATAATTTACTGCACTTATATTCTGGAGTATTACACATTCAGTCAGAATGTAAATGGAGGTTTTTTCATCCTTCTTGCAGAATCTGCACTCACCAGCATCTACTACTCTCAGTTAATTAAGGTGTCCTTCTTTGAGTCGGTAATACCCAGTAAGAATCCCTGTTACAATCAGATTTTGCAATTCTTTTATTATTTTACTTCATTAAACATTTTCATTTATTTCCATTTCTTTGACATGATATATAATATTTATTTGAGACTCTTCTAATATGTCATCTTTTTATTTCCTTTTTTTCTTTGTGTGTAGAGTTGTAAGGAAGTTCTTCGTGGTACGACTTAAATGTCTAAAGCACTTCGTGCAGTGAACCTTCTGACATAATGAGGTCAACTGGATTTTAGGGCACTACAACTCGCTAATATATTTCACATATTACACGCAGTCTATTTTTTTAGATAGCACATCACATAATGACACATTGTTACCGTAGGTACGACACAGTGTTGCGTACTTTTTAGGGTCCAAAAGTTAGCGTTTGGTACGATTTAGTATTTTTAACCGAAAAGGAGGATGTTCTCAATTCGTCGCGATTTTTTTTATGTTCAGCGATAATTCTTTAACATGGTGTCCGATTTCAATAATTCTTTTTTTGTTAGGAAGGGGCTACTTTAGGGGCGGTACCATATAAATTTGGCCAAAATCTAATAATTGGGTCCATGAGAAAATCCTCAAACTCTTCATTTTTTATGTATGTTTAGCGATAATGCTTCACCACCTTGTCCGATTTATATGATTCTTTTTTGTTAGTAAGAGGGTACCTCAGGGGTGGTCCCATATAAATTTGGCACGTTTTTGAAGTCGATTTTTTTAAATTTTTAATTTCTAATCTATGTCTACGAATAACTGTATTATAAACCTAAATATCTGAAAGAACTC